AGGGTTACTTCCCATTACACCAGGGCTTTGTAGTGACCCTGGGAAGCTGCATTTTTGGGACCTCACTTAAAACAGCACAAGTGGGCTGGGGGGCTATAGCACAGTGGCACACACGAGGTCCTGAGTTTGATTCCTGGTACCAAAAAAACAAAAACAAAAAAAACCCAGCAACACTGTATTTTGCTAGATGTTAGCCTGATTCTTTACGACCTTGAGCCTCAGAGAGCAAGGCAGCAAAGATCTGAAACACTTACATACAAGGCAAAGCCAGAACAGACCACAACTTTGGGTATTATAAATTAAAAACTAAACTGGTGGTGGTGCATGCCTGTAATCCCAGCACTCATGAGGCTGAAGCAGGAGGATCACTGGGAGTTCAAGGCCAGCCTGGGCTGCAAAGTGAATTCAGGGTCAGCCTGAACTGCATAGTGAGACCTTGTCTCAAAACGACAAAAACAAACAAAAAGCCTACAAGACTAGGGACTAGCTCAGTAGTAGAGCACTTACCCAGCATGTGCAAAGCCCTAGGTTCAAACCCCAGCACTGAAAAAAAAATAACTAGAACATTATTATGTTGAATAAAGTCTAACTACCTAATGTTAAAATAGATATAAACTAACTGATGGATGCTGAAATCTTGGCTGTTGGGAGGAATTTGTGATAAATCTAATAGAGCTCTCACTTTCTTTGCAGTTCTTTTCCATCTATCGTACTGGGGAGCACAAAAGCCGTGTTATGTGCAGAACGGCCGGGTTTATCCCTAGTAGAAAGAAGTTATGTTTGGTATCTAAAGAACAATGAGCGTTTGCTGCTTGGCTGATCAATGCTGGATCAAGTTCACATTCTCCAGCCCCACTCTCCCACCTACACACTCAGGGGGAGGAAGCAGAGCAGAGGGAGGGAGGACAGATCCTTTTTTCACACACAGAGAGATGTGAGCTCAGGCTTTCCTAATACGGACACAGCTGGGCCTGGGTAGCATTAAACATTGATTTAATCCACTGCTGGAGAAAATGTACTATGAAAAGTAAGAGATTAGCAGCCAATTAATTCTGGCTCTTCCCATTGTTTTCCTGGAACACCTCCTTGTATGGAGCTAAATGTTGGTGAACAAATATTCTGGAAAATGGCTTTTCGGGACAGCTACTCCACCCCCAAAATATGGTGGATTTTACTTTCCTCTGTGCGTGTGTGTGCATGTGTGCTTGTATGTGTGAGATTTTACTTCTTTAGAGAGTATAACTGAGGCCCATCCTTTTTGTTTGCAAATTGTGACTTCCTTGGGTTTCCTGTTGGAGGACAGATGACAAGCAATCTAGCCTGAATTCAAAGACTTTTAAAATGCCACAGACTCCACCTGCATCCCTTCCTTGAAAGGCAACACGGAGTATGGCATATGTATATGCACGTCTTTCAGATACTGTACCTAAGCCATCTTAGGAAATGATGGTAAGGCACCTAGACGGGAGGTTTGCTTTCAAGCTAGGAAAATATCAGCATATGATGTGTTTGTGTGCTTAATTAGTAACTAACATCTTTTGGAAGGCATTTGTCAGAATTATTTTCCTACTAGCATCCATGCATGTGTATGTCTTTTCTAAATAAAGGAGCCCATTTGGTCAGAGCAGGTTGCCCAAGACTCAAGGAAATTAGCACAGATTTCATCCTGAATGGAACATTACTTTTGGGCCACTGCCAAGGGTCTTTTCTGGTAGCATACACTCTTCCCTAATCTTAGGTGGCAGTCCCTCATATGCAAAGTGTTCGTTTCATGAGAAAGAGTGGTGGCAATCACCTTAATTAGCACGGTAGAAGTACTGCCTCCATCTTGGCATCTTTGCAGGTCAGCACTACAACCATTTCCCCTTGAAGACAAGGACCTAAGGCAGTCGTGACTATTTGTTATCATTGAAAGGTTAGCCACTACTGCTCCTAAGGTCTTTTCACTCAGGATCCAGAGCTGTGTTAACCATGAAGGGAGGAAAAAACTCTAAAATGTCAACTATCCATTCATTCTTGATGGGAGATTCATTCTGGGAAGATTATTTTCTTCTGTTGAAAATTATTACTTATTTTTTAAGTCTTTTTGTGTGTAGGCTTATCTTATCGTGCCCCAGAGTTTATTTCTGAGTTATAAACTGTGGGAAATGTTACCTGGGTTAATGTAATCTCCCCCAGCTCTGTGTCTGCCATTTCCCCAAAGGTTCTTCTTCCTGTCACAGAGCACAGGGCAAGGTCATTGTCTGTGTCAGTGACCTTGAACATTAGGTGTTTCCCAAACACCTAGAATTCATTTATAATAACCTACTAGACACAGGCATCATCAAAATAATCTAAACCAGTAGTTCTCAATGTGGGCTTATATTGGAACGGGGAAGGTGGCTTAAAAATGGCTGATGCCTGACTCACTCTCTCAGATATGTGGATCTAGGTGGTGACCTGGGCATTGGGATTTGTGATGCCCGCCACCTCCACACACACAGTGATTCTAGTCAGCTGTCAAGATGGGACCCACAAATCGTAGGTCACCTCTATGTCATTTATATTTCACCCATGAAAGCTCTTTCAGGTTATAGTGTCCATGAATGTCAAAGTCCTATAGAGAGTAACAGTCATACAGATGGTGAAAGGGACAGACTGTTTTCTAGACTATATCTTTAAGTAGACTTTTATGGTATGGGATTATATTTTGTGAGTTATGTTTTGATCTGGGGTTGCTCTGATCCATACAATAAACAAATATTTTAAAGAGACACAGTCACACCAGCGGTTCCCTCAGCTCCCATGCTGGATGTACAGCAACGATATTTCCAACCAGGAGATCGAAGGCAAACAACATGAAGTACTGAAGGCACTAAAATTCCCTGAGACGGAGTTTGTGCATCCTTTACAGGGGACTGTGTGAGGCAGAAGCAGAAGTCTGTGGGTAGAAGCACTGTAAACTGTCTACTTCTGTACAAAACCTGACTATTCTTATTCTTCTACCAGTTCTAAGATTCTGGGTTCTTTGATATGTGAAGTGCTTCAGCATTAATTCTGTATTAAAGTCACTTTCCTCCAGCTTCTAGTAATGTTGTATTGCTTCTTAATTTTAGTAGTTTAGAACTCAGGATATAGCAACTCCTTCCTGTCTTAAGCACATTATGTGTCATTTGAGCTTCACAACTCTATGTGAAAGGAAGCTTAGAGAAGTCACACAGCTAAAATAGATCCAAAACCCAGAGAGCCATTCATGTATTCCCTACATTACACCTTATTATTCCTTGTCTTAAGAGTCTCCAGAGGTCAGTGGTGATGTCCCACTACTCCTGGTGTTCAGTCTGGTGCTTTGGTTTGTAGTAAGGACCCAGTATGTTTGTTAAATGAATAACCTGTTCACATGTCTAATTTACATTGTTCTTCCTGTAATCTAAGTCCCTTTCCTCTGGTTTTGATATCAAAGGAGATAAAATATCTACCTGAGAAACATTTTAAGAATAGCCCTATGATGTTTATGTAACATTTAGTTTAGTTTTTCTAATAGCACTTTTCCTTGAATTTTATAGAGTATAATCATATGGGTTAATTTCCACCCTTTACTTCCAAATGTGGTTAATAGAGAGAACTTTTAGAATGCTAAAATTTTTCCACACTCCCCTTTCTGCCCTCCAAAGAGAAAAAGGAAATTAAAGAAAAAATAAACCCAGAATAGCCCTCCTTGTTAAAAAAAAAAAAAAAAGGCAGGTTCCAAAGCAAATAAATATAACATGATAGAAATACATTAAGATAAGTACATCCATGTGGACGTAATGGTAGGAAATAAGATGGGGTCACGAATTAACCCACCAGAGGCCCATCCTGAAGTTTCATCCTGGCCAATGTGGGATCCCAGAGCTCAAAGCTTTCTATGGTAGGAGAGGGGAAAAGAGATCAATGGCAGTATTGGTGAGATAGAAACAAACCAGTTGCCCTAATCCTATTCCTGATGTTGATACCAGAGAGAAAGTTTCCTGTGGGTCCTCACAGAAAACTACTATCTACTATAATGACTCTCTAAACCTTCTGTAAACATTGCAATGGATTTTATGGAGCTGTTCTTTATAATGCACCTCAATAAAGGTTGATGGTCGCTTAACAGAACTTAGTGTGATAGGACTTTCACAAGATTACCCAAAAGACGAAGTCCAGGGCTAGCTTTATGGTAGTCTGGCTTAATCCAAGAATGGATTTTATCGTATCCAGAAAAGGAGTTGGGGCATCAGATGAATCTGTGAACATTCCAAAAACTGCTGTGTGTGTCAGTGTTTATGAGTGCTATAGGTACACCTTTTTTCTAGGGAGCTGATAGCACCATTAGTCTTCATCAGATTCTCAGAGAGGGTCAAGAGAATGGGAGAGCTTTGGGGACATAGCTCAGTGGTAGAGTGCTTGCTAGTATGTGCTGGACACTGGGTTCAATCCCCAAAACTGCATAAAAAGACAGGGACGAACTGAGGATTCTGAATGTTTTTCCACTTGTCTTTGAGCAACAGTGAGATCAGGGTTGTGGTTACAGAGAGGAAGAAGTTCTGTGAGTTCCCTGCAGAGCCATAAACTTCAACAGTCAGCGAAGCCAAGCATGGGATTGATTTCCTTTTTGGAAAAATATGCTTTATAAGGACTTCCACTAAGAGGTCCACTTGGCAGGGCCAAACTCTCTTCAGAAAGAAACGAGGCTTTCGTTCTAACACTGAGACACAATGGGCAGTAATACAAATTATATGTAATTTTTCTAAGATAAAAAAGCTGACGTGAAAGAATATTACATTTTAAAACAACAGAACAAAATTTTTTTTTTGGTTTTTCTCCGGTACCGGGAACCGAACTCATGACCTTGCGCATGCCAGGCAGGAGCTTTTGCCGCTGAGCTAAATCCCCAGCCCCTACAGAACAAAATTTAAAGGCATAAACATTTGACAACTTTATTTCTAACCTTTACTTGTTGTACTTCAGCTTAATCTTAACCTTGATTTTATTTCCAGACCTTTGTAGACTTTTACCGTTTAGTTTATCCCAAATATATGTTGGCAGTAGAGCCTTTTGGAAGCCAAGCGAAGCTCCTGGAACCCTCTAACTTGTTTGGTACTCTCAGGTCCTTTGGCTTCTCACAGTGGATGGTTTTCCCTTTACTTTGCCCGGGGGAGTGTAATTTGCCATCTGAGGCTGTTTGGGATAATTAAAGGGCTCCTCTTGTTTGCCTGGAGGCCTTCCGGTTGACTGGGGCAGCACACTCATTCCTCTGAGTTGTACCTCACTCAGAAAGAAGCTGGGAGAAAGCACACACACAGTAGTGATGTGAAATTGGTATCACTGACTTCATGTAGAGAAAGAAGTAACTTCCTCTTGCACTGACAATATTGATCCAGAAAAAAAGAAAACTGGAAAGACTTTTCCTCCTAAAGTAACCTCCAGCTACTAGGTTAAGTGATGCTTTTATTTTAAAACAGTGGCACTTTCCTCAGCCTCTGAAATTGTCCTCAGCTTTTATAAATTGCCTTGACAAGAAAGTTTCTTAAGACAGCTTCCTTTCTCAGCTTGCCTCTCCACTAGCTGAGGCATTTTAAAAGATATAATTCAAATAGAAAACATCTGTTTTTTCCAAGATAGCTTTAAAGAACTTTCACCACATTCTGAAAGAGTCTTATTAAAATATCCATCCTCTAGTACAGAAGTCCAGTTTCTAAAAAAAGGTCTTCCTCCAATTTCTCCAGTGTCCATTCTCATTGATGTGAACCCCTGAAAAAAGGGAGATTTAGATAAATAATAAGAAAAACTCATTCAGGTTGATTTGTGTTAAACACACGTACAAAATTATTATCTTTTCCAGTGTCACACAGCACATTAATTGTTCGTTCTAGATTAAACTCAGCTTCTATCACCATTTTGGATACATTTTTAGTGATTAATACATAGGAACCTTTCTCATTCCTATTTTTAGTTCTTAAAGTCATTTTAGAACCACACTGACAGTGTAATTGATGTCTCTCTTTTTAAAAATTAGATTCTGTGCTCTTTGCAAATGAAGATATTGTAGCAGTGAAACAAACAGGAGTTAATTAGAAAAAACCTAAATCTTCAGATTCGTCCCCCTTAAAGTTTCATTTGCCATCCATTCATCTGTCCCTTTATGCCTCCATTCACTTAACATATTTATTGAGCATCTGCTATGTGCCACACAGTGTTTTTAGTGACTGGACAAAAACCAAGAACAAAAGAGACAGGATCTCTTTCTTCTTAGAGGATATAGTCCAGTTAGGGAGATAAATGTTCAATAACTTAGTAAAAATAGCTGCAATAATTGTACAACACGAGCGATCCCTAATGTAAGCTATGGACCATTTGATAATAGTGTATCAGCACTGATTCTTCCGTTGTAACTAATGTACCATACTCTTCCTCATTGTACCAAATGCAAGATGTGAATGACTGGGACAACTGTGGAGTGAGGGAGATGGGATTTCCTGTACTTTCTGCTCAGTTTTTCTGTGCGCTTCAAATTGCTCTAAAAAGGAAAGCCTCTTAATAAAAGTTTTAAAGTTATTTAAATAGGTGTATATGATAATCACCTGAAACAGTACAAATAGGATCCTATTAGAAAGAGTCGGGGGTGGTGACATAATTTGGACTGGAGAGTGAGGGGAGATTTTTTGAAAGTTTAATGCTAGAAATAGAGGGCAAGTGAGATCTAGCCGAGCAAAGCACTGTGAGTAAAGCAAAGTGATATAATTGGCATTGCCTTTGGGAATACCCACTGTGGCTTCTCTGTGGCTGTGGCAAATTGGTTGTCGGGAGGGGCAAGAGGACAAACAAAGGGATGTATTGGGAGGCACTTAGAATGGACTATAGTGAAGAGCAAAGTGACAATGGAACCGTTCCCTTTATCCAGCATATGCCGGAACCCACTAGGTTCTCTGTGAGCTCCACTCTAGGAGAAAGGAGACCTTGCCTTGCCCATGGTGAGGTGTAGGGTTTCCTGGTCTCAGTTCCCAAGATCTTTCCAGTGGCTTAATGTGACTTACGGAATGAAGACTACATACTGATTGGACCATCCCTTTAACTTTATGGCATTTCTTTAAAAAAAAAAAAATCTGTCTTGCCCTCTTTATTGCCCACACAGTGGGCAATAATATATATGTGTATATATATATATATATATATATATATATATATATATATACAACCTGATGAAAATTATAATATTAACCATCTGTCTTAGTTACTTTTCTCATTGCTAAGACAAAATACCTAACACCTAACATTAAAAGGGGAACAGTTTATTTGGTTTATGGTTCCTAGTGGTTTCAGTCCACAGTTGGCTGGCTCCAGCACATGGCAGAGGGGCATCAGAGAGGAGAAATAGTTCACTGAAGGCAGAAGACAGCAAAGGCAAGCAAGAGTTGACCACAGCTCATTCTATCCCTTATATCTCATCCGGGCTACTTAGGGTGGGTACCACTCACACCCTTAATCCTAGTGCCCTTGATCCTAGCATTGCACCATGAATCAATCAGCATCATCACACTCTGAAAATGCCCACCTATGACCACATGAGGCTTTGTGGTGGGGGGAACATCTAGACACCAAACCATAACACCACCCATAACTTGTGATTTTCATAGAAGTCGTAAGTTTTAATTTGCAATAGTTATCTTTACTCCCATTACTAGATTTTTGGAATGTATTTTAGTTTTTGTTCCTTCTAAGTCTATATGTTGAAAAATTGTTGCAAGTCAACAAAGAGTATCCTTAGAATGGTCCTTTTAAGCAAGGCACTGTTTTAGTACATCAGTATTGAACGGTTGGTATCACAGTTCCAGGGGCAGTGAACTCCAAGGAAAAAATTCTAGTGGGTAAAAGGAAGCATCTGCCAGGATAGATTTCTATTGATTCTGGAACTGTTATTAGTAGCATGGAAGCTTGAATAGTTCAAAGTTCTCCTTCTGTTTAAAATTAAACAGCTCTGCATAATGCACTTCATCGTTTGTATTTTTTATATGCTTATGTGTATATGCAACCAGGATTCATTAAGCATTGACTATTTTAGTGTATTTCCTTCACGGTGGAAAACCCTAGGTCATGGTTGTACATATATACAAGATTAGATATATTGAAAAATCTTTAGTATGATTTCATAGCACTTAGTTAATGATGATACAAAAGGGTTAATATATCTATTTCTATTTCTCCCTAGAGTTAGAGTTTGTGTGTGTTCCTAGAAACACAAAGAACCCCCCACTTGAGCAGATCTGTTGTATATTTTAGGAAATAGACCCGCATGGTTAATGCACGTTTAAGTAGTCCAGTTACAAATATGGAATGAAGGGATACAATAAAGTTTTCCACTCTGATGTCTCCATTAAGAAGCTCGTCTTTGTGTAAAGTACTCCATGGCAAAGTTGCTTCTATTTAAAGTAGTGAGTTGGATCTTGGCTTTGATCTAAACCTTTTGATCTTGAAAGAAAAATGGAGATGCAATAAAGAGGGCAAGACAGATTTTCTTTAAAGAAATGAGATAAAGTTAAAGGGATGGTCAAATCAGTAGGTAGGAGTAGGACTGCTCTCCCCCCCAGCTTCTCTAGCAGTCTGCTCCACCAGCTTCTGCTGCGGAGAAGGAAGCCTGCTGGGGGTTGGGGGAAATTTTGGGGTAGCGCAGGCTTTTATCAGCTAAGTAGAAACCATCTCCCTAATGGAGAAAACAGACTGCTCCTCGTTCAGTTCTACCCTGTGGCTCTGGAGGCCGGCGACAGTGGAGGCCCCCGTGTCTGCGCCGTCTTTTGCTGCACAGCAGCCCTTCTCGCGGAGATCCTGTTTCTGTCCCCTACGCTGTTCCTGGGGGCAGCCCCAGGAGGAACGCTCTTTTCCTCGGGGCCTGTGAGGACCGCGGAGCCCGGGCCGGGAGCGCGCACCCGGGAGGCTCTGCGTGGGCGCCAGCGCTGGGACAGGTGCGGCACGCGCGGGACTGGAGGAGGAGGGGGAGGTTTGCAGCAAGGAAACCCGTGCCAGGGCCTGGCGGGGGCGCGGTGCCTGTACCTTTAAGGAGGCCCCGCCCC